AAACGAACTTTAGCTAATGTTTCATTAAATTTTTTTTTTTTTTTTGAAATGGAGTCCAGGACATACCTTTTGTGTTCTGGATTAATAAAACGAACATTTTCTAACGTTCGTTAAATAATACTAATATCAAAGTTTGAAATAGAGTACCTTCGGCGTTCTGTAAAATGTATTTTTTGAAGGAGATAAAGGAGTCCGACATCTTTTTAGTCCGAATCTCCTGCATGTTGCAGATTATATGCCAAATGTTGGACGAATTTGCCTTAAAGACTCTGAACCTTGCAAATAAATTTTTTTTTTAAAAAAAAAATTTCTCTAATAAGTTTCAAAGCTTAAAAAACTATAATAGAAATATTTTTTCTTTGGAATCTTTAACAGATTATTTCCTAAAAGGTGTTGTAGAAAAAATTATTTCACTTCTTTAGTAATAAGTGTTGTAGAAAAAATTATTTTTTTAAAGTCTTGTAAAGTTTTTTTTTTTAAAGAGTATTGTAAAAAAAATTAAATCAAGTTAGAGTTAATCAAAGTTTAAATATTAAATCAATGATGAAATTGCAGATCGAAATGATATTTTAATGAAAAAAAAGCAAAAATCTGCAAAATTGCAGACTTCTGCATAAATTTCACATAAAAAAAAGCAGAAATCTGCAAAATCGCAGATTACTGCAGAAATTCATACATAAAAAATTGGAAACTTGCAAAATTGCAGATTATTGCATAACTTTATAAAAAATAAAAAGCAGAAATCTGCAAAATCGCAGACTTCCGCATAAATTCACAAAAAAAATGCAGAGATCTGCTAATTTTACAGATCTCTGCAGTTCTGCATCTTAAAAAATTTTCCGATGTACCAGTTATCATTATTTGATCGTTATATTTAGGCTGAAATGAAGTCTATTTTGAAAACCATTGATGAAACTTAAGGACTAGATTACAATGAAATGTTCAATAGCATGAAAATCTCAAGATTCGTCGTAAGCTAGTCCCTGAATTGTGTTCAGCCCTTGCTCCGTGTTTTCCCGCTTTGAATAAGTAACTTACAAAATGGTTGGGTTGTCTCCACAAGTCTCGTCGTTCTCATCAAAGATTAATGGATAGGGGAAAGCCGATGAAAATAAACACTGGGTATACTTAAATAATCGAGTATATGACGTTAGTAATGATTTATAATTATTATACTGAATTTTATTCCGATTATGTATTAAATTTTATTCAAATTATAATGTATTTTAGAAGAAAATCCGCTGAATTAGAGGTGCGCTTTGGATGAATCTGGTCAATCCGTCATCCGGATGATCACGTGACGGATCAATCCGGATTAAAAAAATCGGATCATCGGATTATCCGCGGATTGACCAGATTGATTATAATTCCGGCTGGAATTAAGTAATCGGCATGGAATTATCCTTTTTAGGGTATGAGTAACATTATACAAATCCAAAAAAAGCAATTTTGTTTCCCAGCAAAAATGAAATTTTGGGTTTCACAAGAATCCTAAAAAGGAAATTTTTCGCCGATTATTTAATTTCAGCCAGAATTTATGATTAGGTATTTAACTGTTATCACGTGACGCACGGGTATGTCAATCGTTTCCATTTTTGGCAATACCCGTTCCACAAAAAACCAGTTTTTCTAAATTTAGTTTCCGGTCGTGTAACATAAAATTTCCAAAAAAGGAGGTCGTCTAAAGCAGAGCAGAGTCACGTGACTTAACCAATTATTACAAGCCACAAGCAGGACCCCGGATATCTCCAAAACAGGTCATAAGTCACACTTTCGGCAGATTGGCCCATTTTTCAGGGGCTCAAAAAATCGTTTTTTGTAAATATCTCGGCATCCAGTCGTCCAATTTTGATGAACTTTTTTTTAAATTGTAGAGCTAAATGAGGGCTACAAAA